TTTTTAAGAGATTGGAGTCTCACTATGTTGTCTAGGATAGTCTTGAGCTCCATGCCTCAAGCAGTCCTCCTGCCTCAGCTTCCCAAAGTGTTGGGATTACAAGTAGGAGCCACCACACCTGGCCCAGCTAGTACCTTTTATTTGTTTTGCGACAGAGTCTCACTCTGTCACCAGGCTGGAGTGCAGTGGCGCAATCTTGGCTCACTGCAACCTCTGCCTCCCACCAGCCAGTACCTTTTAAGAAATATAAGCAGAAAATTATACAAGAACGTTGTTTTAATGACAGATATCCTCTTTTATAAAAGGCAGACTGAAATCAGAATTCCCAGCTTATGTATACAGCTGCTATTTGGCTAGTGGAATTCTGGTAACACTAGTTCCAAGTTGTTAGCTACATTATGTGACAAACTGGGAATATGGTCACTTGGCCAATATTCCTAATATTTATAGGGGAAAATATGCTCTGAGTTGAAATCAACTAAACTAGAAGTATTCCTTGAGGATAGAAAACCCACTTATAAATTGGGAACTCTTCTGAATGTTTAAAGAAATACTTACTTGCATGCTGAAAGCAGTGCAGCAGAAGTGAAAAGTGGCCTGGATAAGTCAAGATCTACGTGCTGTGTCTGGGGAAGACTGGACTCATAGCTAAAGGAGAGGTTATTGCAGAATCATATGTTAGAAAATATTATCTCAAAAGAGACTGAAAGTGCAAACCAGAACTTACAAGCTTTTAAAATGCATTACATATGTGCACTGTCACTTTAACATGAGTTATTTTTTTAAGACTGAAAATTAACCAGAATAGGACAGTAGATAATTTTTCTTTATCTATCAGTATAAATTTTTTTTTCCCACCTGAGGCAGAGTCTTGCTCTGTCGCCCAAGCTGGAATGCAATGGCACGATCTTGGCTCACTGCAACCTCCACCTCCTGGGTTCAAGCAATTCTCCTGCCTCAGCCTCCCTAGTAGCTGGGTGCCACCACACCCAGCTAATTTTTTGTATTTTTAGTAGAAATGGGGTTTGGCCATGTTGGCCAGGCTGGTCTTGAACTCCTGACCATGTGATCCGCCCGCCTCCCAAAGTGCTGGGATTACGGGCATAAGCCACTGCACCCAGCCTATCGGTATACATTTTCAATTAAGGTTCTTTATGCCCCATACCTTTTTAGTATCTTTGAAGCCATGTTCACTGCTTCTGTACAGCTAAACTGTACAGCTAGGTCTCTTATTCCAATAGTCGAATTTAGGCCTAGTAAACACTCAAAAGATTTAAGACAGCTCTGGTATGTCTTCTTGCTCAAACCAGAAAGTTTAACTAAATAAGCCTGTGAAAGGAAAAACACATACACGAATCATAAAAACCTTAAGTTCTATTTATTAGTACCCTTAAACACTTAATAAGTGGTATAACTTTTCAAAATTAATTTTGTGGCAAGTCACTCCACCTAAAGGTTTAGCTTCACTCAGTCAAAAAATTAGTAATCACATCAGGCAGAGGAAGCACTGCTCTCAAAAAGAGTTCAAACTACACAAAGACAGTCATGCCTATGCACAAATGATTTAAAATTATAACACAATATAGTCAAACAGGTAGTAAAAAACCACAGGAAACACATATATGGTTACTTGTGTTTATACAAAGCTGCTAATGTGTAATTTATTGGGAAAAGGAAGGAGAGAAGTAGTGGGAGTGGAGTGGGGGGCAGGGGTGTGTGTGTATAGAGGAGAGAAAGAGGAAAAGGAAAGTAGGAAGGGAAACAGGAGGATCCACTGGGGGAAACTAGCTCTGCCTGGAAGAGTTAAGGCAAGTTTCATAAAGAATATAACAATCAGGCAGGGTCATGTAAGACAAATAGGAGTTTACCAGAAGAGTACTGCAGGAAAAAACAAGACACTGCATTTACAAAGCCACAAATCACTGAAGAGGAGAATCTGTGATGTGAATACTGTAGCTTGAGGCCAGGATTCAAGAGAGGCTGGAGAGTTTGATGGTAATCAACAAAGCTGTTTTTAATATTACCATTTAATAAGCTTATCATTATGACACGAGTACTGTGTTAACAGTGTTACATATATTTAATCCTTATAATAATCTAGCGAAATTGGATATTTTATCTTCAATTTATGGGTGAGCACACTGGAGGTTAAAAGAGCTAGCTAGTGTGGAGATTTGATCTCAATATGCAACTCCTCCTGACCCCAAAGCTTGTTCTTTCAAGCACCGTCATATTAGAGGAAAAGCATAGGGGTTTTGAAACATGTGCTTTAAAAGGAGGATAATGCTAGCAGCAATGTGGAAGATGGCCTCTTCCCAAGAAAGAGTTGGTCAGGGAAAACAGTGAAGAGTAAAGAAAACGTGGCAAATTTTTTTCTTCCAACTCAAAATGATTCAACATTATTTCCAGAAATAATACAAGAATAGCCAGGGCAATTCCAAAACAAGAGTTTTAACTGGGGTTTATTTCAACCAAAAGTTAAAAGAGCTTCAGTGTTGCACTGGATTATTCAGATATTCGGTGGGACCTACTTACCCTGTCCAAGGGGTACTTCATCCAGGAAGCTGCAAGGTCCAGGCACATGACTGCACTGCTAGTCTCCGTGGTGCGTGCAGAAAGGCCGACACACTTCACTCGGGACAGGCGCAAGTACTCCTCTGCTTTCCTGGTTAAAAGGGCAGTGTGTTAGCTACAACTCTTATTCAGAAGTTTGCTCAACACTTTGGTAAACAAAAACTACAGCCTGATGAATGTCACACTAAGCCTAACTCCAGTGCACATTTATCTGGGGCTGGGAATGAAGATCATATCCTCTGAAGAGAGGAAGACAGAATCAGAACTGGCTCCAAACATCACTGTGCTCAAACGTTTTCAGGCAAAAGTTAAATTTCGACAAAAAACCCTTCTTTCCTCCTTCCATTACTGGAACAAGCATGAACTATTTCAGAGGCAGGCAGGTTAGACCAGGGTTCCTCTTCCCCACCCCCACTACCCCCTCCATTTCCTTTAAATCAGTAGCTCCTAAACTTCATTGTATGCGGAAAATCACCTTCCGGCTTGTGAAAACAAATTACGGGGTCCCAGGCTGAGTGACTGATCAGTATGCTTATGGTGGGGCCCAAGAATTTGTATTTCTAACAAGTGACAAGATGATACGGCTGTTGCTGATCCAGAAACCATATTTTGAGAACCGCTGTTCTAAATGACTACCGAGTCCTGCATGCAGGTGTGTCTTCAAATCTTTTCAAGCGCTCTTTTCCTTGCCTTCGCTCGCCTGACTGTTGAAGCACTGAGCCTGGTCCTGCTCTCCACGTTTTAGCTACAATGGCTTTATTCCGAACTCCAGATCCCGCTTCCCATCCGAAGGCTTTTACAGGAGGTGTCGTCCCTGCCTGGGCTGCTCTTGCCACAGCTTCCCTCGCCTGGCACCTTCCATCAATCCGGCCTCAGCGGGAACGGAACGTGCCTTCCCGAGTTTTCCGCTAGGCCGTTCTCCACCTCAAGTCCGGTAGCTCCGGCATATTACCCCAGTTTAAGGTCTACACAGTCCTCGCCCTTTACAGACAGCGGGGCTCTGCGCCACGATATCAGGCTGGCAGCTGTAACCTCGATCGCAGTAGGCGTCAGCGGAATGAGCGGAAGTTCTCCTGGGCTCGTTCTTCTCCCTACCACTGTGCCACCCACAGACAGGGCTGGCTGTTCCCAGGGACGTCTGCCATCGCCCTTCTTGACACCTCAAGCAAGCCCACCGCCGGGAAGTTTCTCTTGAAGTAACTTCTAGCCCCGTCCAGCCCCAGCGCTCCTCGTCACTCCAGCGCCGCCCGTCGCCTGGGAAGGGCGTGGGTCTCGCCTGAGGGCTCAGGGCCGCGAGGGGGAAGCCCAGCCCTGGTCTTGCGCTGCCGAACTCACCTTAGCATTTCGGGCTCGGCGAGGCCTAAGCGCGGGGCTAGACGGCCGATCAGCTCCGACCCCATGCCGCCCCCACTAAAGTGATCAACTCCGGCGAACGCCGCGGGGCGACGAAACCGGCGCGCAGACGCTGTGCCAGCCAGTGAGAGCCAGGCCCCACCTCCGGCACATCTGGATTGGTTGGGACCAGATTGAGACAGTCCCACAAGCCAATCGGGATCTTCCTTTTGCGCATGTGCATCACGAGCGCACTCGCCAAGGCGGATGGATACAGAGAACTTGGACTTGTCTGCTCCCCAGCCACCCATTCCTTTTTTTCTTGACAAACTCATCACACACTGCCTTTCCCTCTTGCTGTCTACTGCCTGCCGCCGGGCGATCCCCACTGCCTTGCACTGCCCTACCCATTCTCAGACGCTGTGCTGAGATTGGCTCGCGTCCAGGTCTGTCCATCCAGCGTTAAGTAGCCAGAGCCAATAAACACGCGAGACTTGGGTTCCTAGAAGCAGGCCAATCGAGAAGCCGCTTGCACGGTCCGGGGGCGGGGCTAGAGAGGGCGGGGCTTGGAGGGGCCGCAGTGTCACATGACCGCGGGAGGCTCCGCGCGGGGTGGGTGCCGCTTGCTGCAGGCTCTGGGGAGTCGCCATGGTGAGTGCTGAGGGGGCAGTGGGACTCGGGCCGACCCTTCTTGTAGCTTCTGCTCTCTCTCACTGCCCCCGGCCCCAGCGGAAGGAGTAGGGGCCCCGAGACCTGTTGGGACTGAGACCAGCCCGATTTGGCCTGTGGGATAGAGGACCAGAGGAGGAAGGCCGCTGGCGGGCTGACTGCCGGGGTGGGCGGCGGCTCCTGGCTGCGGCCGTTGCTCAGAGACGGGGCGGCCTTTTTGTGGGGGTGACTTGGCCTGTAGGCTTTGGGATCCATCAAGGCCTGCGGCCTCCTCTCAGTGGAATCGGCCACCTGCCTGCCACGAGGGAACCCTCTGCCCTAGGTCTGAGCGTCTAGCCCCCGCGGCGCGCGGAGGCCCTGAGACTCGGAGGTGGCGCCGGGACCCGCCCAGATGTTGCGTTTCCACCTTTGTGCCTGGTTGTGCTCGGCTGTCCACACGGCCTCCTGGAGGGGTCGCAGTGGTTCCTTGGCCTTTCTTGACCTCAAACCCGCTTTCTGCGGCAGTGTTTGTCAGAGAGTTCTGGGGACCTGCTTACGTGAATTTCCTGGAAGGACTCAGGCTGTCTTGTAATCCTGACGCTGGGAAAGGAGACTGATTGTTTCCTTTAGCATTTGTGCATTGGGCGCACGTTAAGTCTTTTGTCTCTCTATTGATGAAATCCAAGTATTTGGTTGGAAGCAGTTCTTCTCCGTAGGGCTCCTCTATGACGGCAGTAAATCGTGGTGTGGCTGTTGGCCGGTAAACTTGAACTTCCTCAAACTGAATCTTTGTGTCTGGTTCCCACAAAGGCAAGTTGTCACTTGTATTTTATTAGCATTTGACGTAGCCTGCACTGTGTAAGTAATATTTTTGAGGGTATACTGTATGTCAGCTTTAATTATCTTATCCACTTTGTGTAGACAGGCTTCTGTAAATCTGTAAGCCTGGAAACAGATTTCACTTTAAATGTTTTAATGCCAGAAGGGATTAAATGTTTTACAAATACTATTTTCATATAAGATATTGCCGTACAAGGTGATTTTTGCCTGCTTTTCAGAATTTTTGCAATTGAGAATTGATACAAGCTGGCATAAAAATTTAACTTTTTAGGATTTGTGTGCTTCCCAGCATTTATGGATTGACATTTATATTGTTTTGTAATGGAAAATATTTAATTGAGGGTGTATTACACACGAATTCTTTGTTGGGTGAACCAGTTGGGAGCAATCAGCCAGACACACAGTCTTGTCCTCATGAATTTTATTGGGAAAGGAAACTTGAGTATTTGTTCTTTCACAGTTTTTATAATTTAAGCAGGTCACTTAGTCTTCTTGGTGTCGTACTTTTGCATCTGGAAGCAACTGTTGGCCCCTTTGGCCCTTCTCAGCCCTGAAGTTCCAGATTCCACTAAAATTCATCAAACATCTTGTGTGCCTTCAGTGTCAACGGACTGTGGCGCTGGGTACTAATGTTTGAACTTAAGAGGCTACTGGGGGAGACACGCTTATAGAACTTAATTGTAATACAGTTGGATTGCTTTACTAGCATTGTTAACTCAGTGCTTTGGGGTCATGGAGGGATAGTTTTGCCTGGGGATTTTGGGAAGGACTACAGGAAGTTACAAGTGAACTGAAACTATGTAGAGTAGAGGGTGGACAGAAATTCTCCAGGTGGAAAGAAAAGGTATTGCTAATAGATGAAGAATGTTCAGTGTGCTCCATTAGAGGATTCTTGGTGGTATGTATTGGTGAATGAAGTTAGAGTCATTTGGTGGTCAAATTATATTTTGAAGTTCTCATGCTCTGGTCATCCTATTTTCTCACTGCTTCAGTTGTTAATGTATGCCATGCCATCATTTTTTAAATAGTTATTTCATTAACTCCATATTCTGTATCTTTGAAGAGATCAGTTTTCATTTTACAGTTGGTTTACATTGTATTGTCAGATTACATCTACAATACAATGAACAGGGTGATTGAACCGTAATAGGTTTCTAACATAAGTGGAGATAATTATTGGCATCTGAACTGGGTATAATAATAATTGTAGGCCCGGTGCAGTGGCTCACACCTGTAATCCCAGCACTTCGGGAGGCCGAGGCAGGCCGATCACAAGGTCAGGAGATGGAGAACATCCTGGCCAACGGGTTGAAAACCCGTCTCTACTAATAATACAAAAATTGGCCGGGCGCAGTAGTTCACGCCTGTAATCCCAGCACTTTGGGAGGCCGAGGTGGGTGGATCACGAGGTGAGGAGTTCGAGACCAGCCTGGCCAACATGGCAAAACACCCGTCTCTAGCAAAAATACAAAAATTAGCAGGGTGTAATGGCAGGCGCCTGTAATCCCAGCTACTCAGGAAGCTGAGGCAGAAGAATCGCTTGAAACCGGAAGGCGGAGATTGCAGTGTGCCGAGATCAGGCCATTCCATTCCAGCCTGGGCAAAAGAGCAAAACTCCATCTCAAAAAAAAGAAAACAAAACAAAAATTAGCTGGACTTGGTGGTGCATGCCTGTAATCCCAGCTACACAGGAGGCTGAGGCAGGAGAATTGCTTGAACTAGGAAGTCGGAGGTTGCACTGAGCCGAGCTCTTGTCACTGCACTCTAGCCTGGCGACAGAGCCAGACTCCGTCTCAAAAAATGTATAATAATAATTGTAGCATTTATTAAGTGCTTATTGCTAAGCAGTAGGCACATTTTGAGCTTTGCATGGTTTCATTTGTTCTTTATAACAGTGGTGCAGGTACTCTCATCTCTGTTTTATAGAAGAGGAAACAAAAGCACATTGTTTGAATGGAGAGTAGTTTTCCAGGTGATCAGTTCATGATGACCTTTGCTTTGCTCTGTAGGAGGCTGAGGGAGGAGAATCACTTGAACCTAGGAGGCAGAGGTTGCAGTGAGCTGAGATTGCGCCATTGTACTCCAACCTGGGCAACAAGAGTGAAACTCCATCTCAGAAAAAAAAAAAAAAGGAGGGATATTCAGACACTGCAACATGGATGAACGAACACTGAATATATGCTCAATGAAATAAGTGAGACATAAAAGGAAAAATATTATATGATTTCACTTATATAAAGTATATAGAGTAGTCAACTCAGAGGAAAGAAGGTAGAATTGCCTGGGGGGTTGGAATGGGAGTTTAATGGGTACAGTTTCCATTTGCATTTGTAAAGATAAGTTCTTCTAGAGATAGATTTGGTAACTGTATAATAATGTGAATGTACTTAATGCCACTGAACTATACATTTAAATGTGATTAAAATGGTAAATTTTTGGTATATTTTACCACAATAAGAAGTCATTTTTAATTAAGATATCCAAATGTATCATGAAACAAGAAAAAAAATTTAGATATATCACTGTTTATCTCTAAATGGATCAATTGAACTTAATTAAATCCATTGATTCAATTTATTATTAAATCTATTGCATTCAGAGGTAAGGAGCCAAAAAATTCCAAATGATGGCTTGGTTTCACTAAAGTTCAGAGATCATTAGCCCATGATCAATAGTAAATTTTATTCAGTCAGAATCTTTAAATGCCGGTGTCATCCTTGCCTCTGAAACCAGCATTTTATGGTAATAGTTCTGCTAGGATAAATTCATGTTCCCTCTAAGTGAAGTTTAAAAAATACCTAACTGTTTCTTTGAAATTTGTTGATGCTTCTGAGGAAGAGTGCTTGCGGCAGAGCTCACTTTACTAGCATGTCATGGGAAAAAAAGGGAGATGCATGGCCTTGCTTATTATTCAATTAACCTTTTTCTCTTTCCAAAATTAGAACAATTTTGGAACTTCAATTTTTTAAACTATTCTCATTCATAAGTGGGTTTTATGTGACTCACATTTCTTTGTTAATCTCAAAATGACATGTTGTTTTGATTTTTCTTAGATAATGAAACAGACCAGATTTTACTTGCAGCTTTATGTATAAGTCCTTGCCTTCCACCTCTTCAACTCATTATGTGAGAGGTATTTTGTCTTTAGTCATTGTTTTAAAAAATCAAATGAAATGACATAACATAAAATTAACCATTTTAAAGTGAACAATTCAGTGGCATTTAGTAGGCTCACAATATTGTACAATCACCGCCTTTAGGTTCAAAACATTTTCCCTACCCCCAAAAGAAACTCAGTACCCATTAAGCAATTATTTCCCCCAACCTCCCTCCTGGTAATCATCAGTCTTTCTGTTCCTATTTCATATAAGAGGAATCATATAATATGTGGCTTTTTATGTCTAGCTTCTTTAATTTAGCATGTTTTCTAGGTTTGTTTATGTAGCATGTAGCATACTTCATTCCATTTTATGGCTAATATTCTGTAATTGGATATATATACCACAATTTGTTTATCCATCTGTTAATTCTTCAGTCATTTTTTTGGTTAAATATCTAAACATTCTAAAACCATTGTATTCATTTATGCAGTGAGCATTTATGGAGCATCCATTACATATTAAAGCAGTGTGTTGGGACCCAAGGATGTAAAAATGACCATTTATAATGGTAATGTGATGCATGCTGTGGTGGAGATGTAAACAGTGTTTATATGACTTGAAGAAGTGGTTAATTCTTCTTGGCAGGGAAATTGAATTGATTTCTGCAAGCAGATTTTTGCTGATGGCGAGGAGAAGAGTGTCTAGATATAGTTTGTCCACTGTAGCTGTAGATCTGTATGTTTGAAATGGTGTAAGCTATTTGAGGAGAGTGCTCTTTATTGTTTTATACTAAAAGTCACTAACATTTTCAGCTATTTTATTTCTAGGCTGTTTAGTCTTTTGTTATGCCAAGGAGGGGCTGGTCAGTGTTCTCATAAACTAGTTCCTTAGTCTGTCTAAAACTAAAATGCAGACGATAAGTAGTCCGGAGGAAAAGAGAGGCTTTAGAGATTTGGTTTCGGCTATACCTACCACAAGACTTAGATTGGTCGGATGGCTATGTCCAGGTTGGATTCAAGAGTATTAGCAGAATACAGCCTTGAACTGCAAGTTTCTTTGAGGCCAGCCTACTACAAGAATGTTGAGTCAGTTTCTGAGAGAGAGGCAATCCTTTGTACTGTTCTCCTTTGTCAATCTTATTCTATTAACTTCAGTGATGGGGCACGGCTCTGTGTGCAGCAGCTGTCAATAATTGGCGGATGGCTTGAGGTACAGAGCTGGCGTGATCCTTTTGTGACAGTCTTGGAGAAGAACTATGGCTAGAACTATAGAAGTAATATATTTGCTAGAAGAATGTGCTTATGACGTTAGTGGAATTTTTTATTTTTCAGCCTACAACACAGCAGTCCCCTCAGGATGAGCAGGAAAAGCTCTTGGATGAAGCCATACAGGCTGTGAAGGTCCAATCATTCCAAATGAAGAGATGCCTGGTAAGAATGGAAATATGGGAGGCACAGTTATAGTCCATGTGTTCCTAAGGAAGCATCTGCAGTGATTCCTAGAGTTAGGTGGCACCACTGTTTCTGGTAAATCTAATCTTCACTGTCTACCAGCATCTGTCTTCAGTCTCATTTCTCTCAAGCACTGCGTGGAGAGCAATTTCAACAAAGAGCCCTGTTTACTCACATGTATATTTATGGTTTGAGATTGTCTGTTTTCCCCACTAGAATACAAGCTTGGAAGAACGAGAGACCCTTCCTTTTGTTTACATATTACTGTATTATTACCACACCAGTGTCTGACCAGAATTACTAGCCTTCTTAGTTCTATACCTCAGACCTGAGGAGTGTTTACCATATAGTAGGTATTCAGTAAATATTTGTTGAATGAATGGATTTAAATGCTTTGCATTTGAATTATTCAGCTTTTTTTCTAAATATTTTGAAAACTTTATTTCTTGAATACATTGTAGAAACTAGCTTAAAAATTATACTTAACATTTATATCTTCATATTCTAAAAGGTAAAGTAAGAGATTATCTGTGTATATACTGTAGATTCTCTGGATTGGTTGGTACTTGAAGCTGTAAGTTACTGTGAAGAAGGTGATGCTATCTTACCTTTGTAAAATGTCTTAAAGTTTCTAAATTATAAAGTAATATGTTCTTGTATCTTTTATTGGTTTCATTCCCAACAAATTGGAAATGAAAAATAAATGTCTTGGAATGGAGAAGATAGGTTTGCAATTGCTTGCTTCTTTCTCTTTCTGTGTATGGATAGTGTTTCCCCTATCTCAAGGAATTGCCTGCATTTCTGAGTTAAGTGGAACATATGGACATTGGGAGGGTTTGAGGAATGCAAGAGGAAAGCAAACTTAACATGGATAGTCATTTCAGGCAGCTCTGAAGAGTCTTTAACCTGTGACAAAGCCATGTCAGGATAGTATATTGCTTCAACTGAATGGATATGCCAGTTCTCTTGATTGCAGGTAAAATGTGATTAATGGACTAGTTTCCTAGTTTCTATAGCTTGAAAAGATTAGCAGTCTGTCAAGAAGCTTGCAGTACTAGATATGTAAGTCTTACTAAGAATCATGCATCTTTTTCCTTTCAGTAGAGAAGGCAAGGTGAAACTAAAGTTGATTTTTTTATGTGGTTATATCATTTAAGTGCTGTATTCTTTTAAAACTATGTAGAAAGTCCTTGATGTAAAGAGTTTGTACAACCAAGATAAATGTTTGTTTAAATTAAGCCTTCTTATCTATTCTCTCGGTATTTCTGTAGGACAAAAACAAGCTTATGGATGCTCTAAAACATGCGTCTAATATGCTTGGTGAACTCCGGACTTCTATGTTATCACCAAAGAGCTACTATGAACTTTGTATCTTTTGAATGTTGAAGACTAAATATTTGGACCATACCTTTTTCTTGATAAGGCAATTTTGTTCGTTCTTGATGAAGTTTTTTCTGGAGTTGTCTTATTCTTCGTTATCTTAGTCACATGGCACACCTCCATGCAGATATGCTAAGTGAGAAAAACACTTTAAGAGTACCCCTTTCTTTCTTATGCTTAAATGTGTTTAAGTGTGTTGTCAGTGCATCTCAGTTTTCAGACCCTTCATGAAGGATATTCAGGCTGTGAGGCAGTTGGTTCTTTAATGCTTAGATTTTGTTATGCAGCACTCTCAGATGGACAGGAATTTAATCATTTGCCATTTCAAAACCCATTAGCAGTCTGACAGGTAACCACTGTATTTACTGCTTTGCTTCACCACATGTTCTTTAAAATCCTTACGTTAAAGTAAGATAAGCCCAACTAAAATTCTATCTTTACTTGAACACTCTCTCCTTTTTTTTTTTTTTTTGACACAGTCTCGCTCTGTTGCCCAGGATGGAGTGCAGTGGCGCTCTCTCAGTTCACTGCAACCTCTGCCTCCCAGGTTCAAGCGATTCTTCTGCCTCAGCCTCTTGAGTAGCTGGGACTACAGGCACACAGCACCATGCCTAGCTAATATTTGTATTTTTAGTAGAGACAGGGTTTCACCACATTGGCCAGGCTGATCTCGAACTCCTGACCTCGTGATCCACCCACCTTCGCCTCCCAAAGTGCTGGGATTATAGGCGTGAGCCACTGCACCTGGCTTGAACACTCTCTTAAAGGACTAAAACTTAAGATATCTGCCCAGTAGTTAATAATGACTCCAAGAAGTTTCAGAGTTTTGCTTAGGTTGGCTTATCATTATTTTTAGTCCTTAATCATAATTAAAAGATATGGCCATTTCTGATGAACTGCACTACTTGGAGGTCTACCTGACAGATGAGTTTGCTAAAGGAAGAAAAGTGGCAGATCTCTATGAACTTGTACAGTATGCTGGAAACATTATCCCAAGGCTGTAAGTAATTACAAGTCATAGGACTTTTGTGTCTGTATTTCCCACTTTATGTCCCTTATGATTATCAGCTTAAAAAAAATTTTTAAGGGTAATTTCTTAACAAATTGAGATTAATATTTTGGTAGGTACTCTGATTTGTGTTAGAGTAACTAGATTTACGTTTTATATAGATATTTGAGGAATTTTGGAAATAAGAAAAAATGGACATTCTATTTTGTTTAATGTCTTGGCTGTTAGAAAAACTAATATGACAGTTATTCTCTTCCTAATATGTTTAAAGGTAATATCTATCTCTTATGTATACAGTGTGTATGTGTGTGGTATTTTTAGAGGTTAGTCAGTGGTTATATTTTAAATCAGATATTTTCATTGTCATGGAGGAGAAAACAACATGGCTTCTGCCTTGTTTATTTAATGTTTTGTTCAGTGTGTTTGGAACTAATCAAATTCTTGATTTGAATATTTTATTTCTAATCAGCGTTTCTTCATAATTCTCCTAGTTACCTTTTGATCACAGTTGGAGTTGTATATGTCAAGTCATTTCCTCAATCAAGGAAGGATATTTTGAAAGATTTGGTAGAAATGTGCCGTGGTGTGCAGCATCCCTTGAGGGGCCTGTTTCTTCGAAATTACCTTCTTCAGTGTACCAGAAATATCTTACCTGATGAAGGAGAGCCAACAGAGTAAGTGATGTTCTTTCTTGATTTTGTTGCAGTATTTCTTTCATTGTAGAATGTATAAAAGTGTGGAAACATGCACAGAAATAAGAAAATAAGTATCAATAATTCTTCCACCCAGTCAGCCATTTAGGTAGCATTTGTATATAGATTTCCTTTGTAATATAGAACTCCTGAGTATATGTGGTGTGATCTAAAATGTACTCTTATGCAGATTATGTCTTTGGATTATTAGGGCCTGCTTTTTCTTCATTTAATGTAATTGAGCATTTTTCCATTGCATTAAATATTTTTTGAAAATACAACGTTTTAAAGAGGGTTTTATTTGGAAATTTAATTTGTAATGAAATAATGAAGTATGAGCTAGCTGGATTTCATAATTGTTCCTTTAATGTCTATCAGATTTTATAATTTATAGACTGCTAGTTACCTTGGAATATAAATGATTTGAATTATCTGTTTCAAGTTAGCTATTAACTCCAGAAAAGAAAAAATTAAAAGCCATTCAGAGACAGCTGTCTCTTGTGTAACCAGTATTCTGTCATCCAAGTCTACGGTACTTTTATCCCACAGCAGGGACAGATGGTTAGCCGACTGTGGTCTTCAGTGGGGTGAGCTGTTCACTTGGCAGGTCCCCAGATTAAAGAACTTCATTCATTGTTTTAAAAAGTTTATTCATTTATTTTCTTTCTTAAAAAAATTTTTAATCTTTTATTTTTCAGTTTGCCCTGACAGATTTTGTTTTTTTAAAGAATATTTTCATTTATTTCTAAGATGTATAATTCAATGGTTTAAACAGTACAGAAAAGATAAAAAATTTAACAATGTAGAGAAATTGATGAAGTTAATTTGCTTTATTACGTTTTGACTGTCCAATTTGAGCATTTAATTAGGCAATCAATGAAAATTTTTGAAAGGTACTGAGGCCTCCATCCTAGGAGATATAGAAAAATAAAGCAGGAAATTCATGATCTCTTTCCTCACAAAGCTTACATTCCATTTAAAAACAAAATATTCAGCCGGGCGCGGTGTCTCAAGCCTGTAATCCCAGCACTTTGGGAGGCCGAGGCGGGTGGATCACGAGGTCAAGAGATCGAGACTATCCTGGTCAACATGGTGAAACCCCGTCTCTACTAAAAATACAAAAAATTAGCTGGGCATGGTGGCGCGTGCCTGTAATCCCAGCTACTCAGAAGGCTGAGGCAGGAGAATTGCCTGAACCCAGGAGGCGGAGGTTGCGTTGAGTCGAGATCGCGCCATTGCACTCCAGCCTGGGTAACATGAGTGAAACTCCGTCTCAAAAAAAAAAAATTCAACGGTAAAATGATATAGTTAGCAGTACACCGTGTTAAATTTTTTAGGCTTTTGTTTTTGTTTTTGGTTTGTAGGGAGGGGGCCTCATTTTGTTGTCCAGGCTGGTTTTAAACTCCTGGCCTAAAGCGATATTCCTGCCTTGGCCTCCCAAAGCACTGGTATTACAAACATGAACCACCATGCCCATCCTTCTGGGCTTTTTGAATTAAGGAAGTTGCCATAAGAGGAAATCCAGTTGGCCCAGGCTAGGGAGTTGGGGAAAGTAATGTGTGCTTTAAATTTATGCTGTCCTCTCCGTGGTACTTTTTTCCCTAGAGTCTGTTCCCTTTGAAATTTAATACTAAGCCAATGAAGTTGAAAGTATTTTTTTTAATAAAGCATTGGTATACTACAGAGATAAGAAGGAAATACACAAAGGAGAGGGATAGTAGTAAGTTGGTCCTATAAATACTGTGTAAAGACTTTTCTGTTTCTTTGCAGCGAAGAAACAACTGGCGATATCAGTGATTCCATGGATTTTGTACTGCTCAACTTTGCAGAAATGAACAAGCTTTGGGTGCGAATGCAGCATCAGGGACATAGCCGAGATAGAGAAAAAAGAGAACGAGAAAGACAAGAACTGAGAATTTTAGTGGGAACAAATTTGGTGCGCCTCAGTCAGTTGGAAGGTGTAAATGTGGAACGTTACAAACAGGTTCATATTTTTTTATTTATTACCTCTTATGGTCGGAGATAAACTGAAATCTGATTTTTAAAATCAGAATATTTTTGTCATATAATATTACATTGAAAAACATCTTAAAATTGCTTTTACTGAAGAAGACCCAAATAAATGGAAAGATGTATGTGCAGTGTTTGTGGATTGGAAGACTTAATATTGTCAAGATAGCATTTTAAAAAAACAATTGATCTATAGCTCCTATGTAATCTTAGTCAAAATCCTAACATTTATATGAGGAAGCAAAGAACCTGTAACAGCTACAACAAATTTGAAAAGGAATAACAAAATTGAAAGACTCAAGCAACCTGAATTCGTGATTTACTCTAAAGCTACAGTGAGATCCTGAGAGGTATTGGTGAAAAGGATAGACACACAAATCAATGGGGGGGAGGTTGGCGGGGGAATAAAGCAGGGAATGGCAAACTTTACCTGTGAAGGACCAGATAATAAATGGTTTTTGGCTTTGCAAGACATGTGGTACAAGTTTGTCCAACCTGTGGCCCAGGGCAGCTTTGAACATGGCCCAACATAAATTTGTGAGCTTTAAAATGTGAGTTGTTTTGCCTTTTTTTTTTTTTTTTTTTTTTTTTTTAAAGCTCATCAGCTATCATTAGTGTATTTTATGTGTGGCCCAAGACAATTCTTTTAATTCTTCTTCAAGCCAAAAGATTGGTCTATAACTAATAACACTGCAGGTATGGTGTAGAAGCAGCCACAGACAATATGGAAGTGAATGGATATTTCTGTGTTCCAGTAAAACTTTATTTGTAAAAACAAGCAGCAACTCAATTTACTGATCTCTGAATAGGCAATCCATAATAGACCCAGATATTTATGATCAGTTATTTTTGATAAAAGTACAAAGGCAGCCTTTTCAGCAAGTGGTTCTGGAGCAATTGTACATCTATATGCAAACAAAAAACTCTGAACCTTGATCCATTCCTCATACCATATATAAAAAACATTAAAATGGATCAAGACCTAAATATATAACCTAAAACTGTTAGAAGAAAACACAGAGGAAACCTTTATGACCTAGGATTAGACAAAGATTTTTGAGGACACAAAAAAGCACAAGCCATGAAGAAAAAAGCTCACTTTTGAGAGGCCAAGGCAGATGGATCGCTTGAGTCCGAGAGTTTGAGATAATCCCAGGCAACATAGGGAGACCCCATCTCCACAAAAAAGTACCAAAATTAGCTGGGCATGGTGGAACGTACCTGTAGTCCTAGCTACTCGAGGTTTGAGGTGGGAGGATGACTTGAGCCCAGGAGGTGGACATTGCATTGAGCAGTGCACCACTGTACTCCAGCCTGGGCAACAGAACAGGACCTTGTCTCAGAAGAAAAAGCTTTTAAAGTTTAGAAGTGAAGTCTTGGTGAGAAAAATCTCAAATACGATTTTCAAGTTAGTAGTTCAAATGTGTTAATAGAGGAATAGCTTAATAATTTTTTTTTTTTTTGAAACGGAGTCTTGCTTTGTTGCCCAGCTAGAGTGCAGTGGTATAGTTCTCGGCTCACTGCAGTCTCTATTTCCTGAGTTCAAACAGCTCTCCTGCCTCAGCCTCCTGAGTAGCTGGGATTATAGGCACGTGCCACCATGCCCAGCTAATTTTTGTATTTTTAGTAGAGACAGGGTTTCACCATGTTGGCCAGGCTGGTCTCCTGACCTCATAATCTGCCCACGTTGGCCTCACAAAGTGCTGGGATTATAGGCGTGAACCACCGCACCTGGCCAGCTTAAGATTTTGAAAACACATTTTAACCCTTATGTTTGTTTTTTTTCTCTTTTAGATTGTTCTGACTGGCATATTGGAGCAAGTTGTAAACTGTAGGGATGCTTTGGCTCAAGAATATCTCATGGAATGTATTATTCAGGTAGGTGGGAACTTTTTTTTTTTTTTTTAAAGGAACTGTTTTATCTTTCATTAAATATCATTGTTTTGAAAACATTTTGATGGAATAGGAAATAAGCTTTCCTGAAAAAGAATTTTCCTGGCTGGGTGTGGTGGCTCCCACCTGTAATCCCAACACTTTGGGAGTTCAAGGTGGGAGGATCTCTTGAGGCCAAGAGTTCAAACCAGCCTGGGCAACATAGCAAGATGCCATTTCTATTAAAAATTTAAATAATTTTTTTAATGTTTCCTTTTTTTCATGTAATCATTCTCCTTCTAAAAATAATTAAAAAAAAAAATTTTTTTTCTGCCGGGCGTGGTGGCTCACGCCTGTAATCATAGCAATTTGGGAGTCTGAGGTGGGTGGATCACCTGAGGTCAGGAGTTCAAAACCAGCCTGGCCATCATGGTGAAACCCCATCTTTAAAAAAAAAAAGAATTTTTCTGTTTCCAACTCATAACTTGGTCTTTGTATCAATGTAGTTTGTTTTCCCCCAAAATGTAGGAATGAGTAATCTGAATTTTCTGGATCTCAGTAGCTTTAGTTTAATTGTAGGTACACTTTGTTTACTGGAATATTTCTGTCTGAGCTTATGTTTAGAGAGGTTCAAAAGTAATGTATTTGAATTCAGTTGTGTAAGATTAGAGTGGTTTTTTTTTTTTTCCCCACAAATGTGAACTTTAAATGCCATATGTGAGTTCTGAATATTATGTGAAATACTTTTACTTTTATTGATCATTTGATTTTCAGGTTTTCCCTGATGAATTTCACCTCCAGACTTTGAATCCTTTTCTTCGGGCCTGTGCTGAGTTACACCAGAATGTAAATGTGAAAAACATAATCATTGCTTTAATTGATAGGTAAGACCTTCCAACACTGGAGGATAAATGCTCTGACTTGGGAATAATGAATTTAAAACATTTTTGTGAATTCTTTCTGTTTTATCTTTATCATATGAATGATCCTAATGTAATTATACTATAAATAATTTTAAAACCTTTTGGGCTCATACAAAATATAGAAAAGCAATAAAGAATTAAGATGTCATCCATGATCCCACTGTGTAAACCCTGTATTTTTTAAAATAAAGGGTTTTTGGTTTTTTTTTTTTAGATTAGCTTTATTTGCTCACCGTGAAGATGGACCTGGCATCCCAGCAGATATTAAACTTTTTGATATATTTTCACAGCAGGTGGCTACAGTGATACAGGTTTGTGTAGCTTTTCTCCTAATTTCTCAAAACCTTGAAACTTCTCTGCCTTCCTTTTACAATTTTTTTAAATAAATTGGATTTTTCTAATCATTCCAGTCTAGACAAGACATGCCTTCAGAGGATGTTGTGTCTTTACAAGTCTCTCTCATTAATCTGGCCATGAAATGTTACCCTGATCGTGTGGACTATGTTGATAAAGTTCTAGAAACAACAGTGGAGATATTCAATAAGCTCAACCTTGAACAGTAAGTCAGTTACATTTTTGTAAAGATCCTCATAAAGATATTTTTTACACAGATTTGCTTTTCTTTCTCAATTGTTTTTTGAAATACTGCCATTTGTTTTTAATCATGCATTAAGATTGTCATGCTTAGCACTACTAGGGGCAGAAAGTTACTTGGTTGTGTGTATTAATGAAATCGTGGTACCTGTGGACCATAGGCAGTCTTCAGGAACCAGTGTTCTCAATTTGGATCCCTTTCTGTGTATTAGGGGCATCCAGTCTTTTGGCTTCCCTGGGCTACATTAGAAGAAGAATTTTCTTGGGCCACACATAAAATACACTAACAATAACAATAGCTAATGAGCTTTAAAAAAAAAAAATCACAAAAAAACTCATAATGTTTTAAGAAAGTTTATGAATTTGTATTGGGCCACAAAAGCCATCCTGGGCTGCATGTGGCATTTGGGCTACAGGTTAGACAAGCTTGCTGTATGTAAATAAGTTTGTTCTTAAACTGGTACGGAAATTGTCAGGCAGTATTTATTTCTGTAATAAGTGTTTTCCTACGAGTAAGTACATGGTGAAAAATGAGGGATGTGTGTATATTTAACTTGCAGAATTAAATTGGTTTAAATATCTTTTCTATTTTGAGCTTTGATTTTGATACCTTTCAAGGAAAGTATCAACAGTGCTGCTTCCAACTTGAAGCCTCCTCAGCTGTTCTGTCTTAGACCTATGGCATCCTCTAGTGGCCACTGTGGGCAGCTCTGATACTGTTATCTTCGCCAGCAGTTCCCTTCCTGCTTCATTTGCCACTGCTCTGGACTTGGGTCAAGCCAGGCCAACCACCCCCCCATCCCCTGCATATTCTTCAGAATTTTATCTCATGTAATCTTCCTCCTTTCTATCTCCCTCCCAGTGGTTTACCTGCATCAAGAAATTTCTTCTTTTTTTTCCCACCCTTTGTATTACTCTTTTTCTTTTGGTCATTTTTGTTTTTGTGTGTGTGTGAACTGAAAACAAGGCCAGATATCAAATGATAAGTGTGAGAGAAAATTAAATGATATGCCGGGTGCAGTGGCTTGCACCTGTAATCCCAGCTATTTGGGAGAATCCCAGCTATTTGAGTTGGGAGAATCACTTGAGCCAGGAGTTTGAGACCAGCCTGGGCAACGTATGGAGACCCTGTCTCTAATAAAAAAATTAAAATTAAAAAATTTTTAATTAAAAAAACTAAATGATCTATCTATGTCTTCTCCCCCCAAATAAATTTTAAAGTAAAAACAGTCAAAATAATTAGAAATAGCTACCTCTAACGAGGTTGTAATAAAGGCCCGGATATGACTTGGTCTACACAGTGATTTTACTAATGACTACCTAAAAGTCAGTCAGCCTGCCTTTTTTTTTTTTTAGACGGAGTTTCGCTCTTGTTACCCAGGCTGGAGTGCAATGGCGCGATCTTGGCTCACCGCAACCTCCACCTCCCGGGTTCAGGCAATTCTCCTGCCTCAGCCTCTTGAGTAGCTGGGATTACAGGCACGTGCCACCATGCCCAGCTAATTTTTTGTATTTTTAGTAGAGACGGGGTTTCACCATGTTGACCAGTATGATCTCGATCTCTTGACCTCGTGATCCACCCGCCTCAGCCTCCCAAAGCACTGGGATTACAGGCGTGAGCCACCGCGCCCGGTCCCAGCCTGCCTTTTCTTAATCACCAACATCTGATGCAGAATAGATAGTTTATGTATTTTTCTGTTGTGTTGAATTGCTGGTTTTGCATGGATTTTTTCTCCTACTTACTTTCATCGTGAATATACAATACTTGTTGGCTGCTCCCTGGGAACCAAACTACCACTTAAAATACTTGTCTTAGAAATGTTGTCAACTTCTAGACAGTTATCTTATTAACTCCAGCTATTCCATCTGTTCATGAGTTGGAAATTGTATCTAGTTTTATGTCAACAGAATAGTAATAGATGAGTATACGTTTGTGTTTAGATAAGGATTTTTCTCCTCTTGAAAGGAGGTTGTTACAGTCTTCTGGGGTAGTATGATTCACTTGACCCATTTCCTTTAATGTATAATGAAAAATTTCAAATTCTTATGAAACAAGTGCTATTTGTATATATAAAAAGTTAATTTTATTCATTAAGACTTCTGTTTTTCTTTTTGTAGTATTGCTACCAGTAGTGCAGTTTCAAAGGAACTCACCAGACTTTTGAAAATACCAGTTGACACTTACAACAATATTTTAACAGTCTTGAAATTAAAACATTTTCACCCACTCTTTGAGTACTTTGACTATGAGTCCAGAAAGAGCATGAGTTGTTATGTGCTTAGTAATGTTCTGGATTATAACACAGAAATTGTCTCTCAAGACCAGGTAAGAAAATATCTATGTGCTATTTTAGGGAAACATTGTTACAGTTTTACTTTGGACCTAGATACCTCAGATGGGGGGAAGGGTAATTCAGTAGTAAAGAAAATTTACAAGTAACTTATTCATTATATAAATTAGAAAATTGGAGATGTATGAAGAATTATAAAATATTTATAATTTCACCAGATAGAGATTAACCACTGTTAATTAACATTTTGTGCATATCTTCCCAGACTTTTATAAATATGTATACTATGACATGCATGTGTATTGACTTTTCTTTTTTTTTTTTTTTTTTT